CGTAGATTTGCATTCAGATCCAATATTGCGATCGTAAGATATGGTTAGAGATGTGGCTAGTCATGATTTTTATGGGGAGAATATGGAAGAGTCACCAAACACATCTGTACAAAAGTTGTATGATACGCTAAGTGCCTCCAATCATAAAGTTTAGTAATATTATCAGAGACATTCTTTGCTTTCTGTAGTATCGCGAATGTTGCACATTAAATCAGAGCACCACATTTTTGAAAGGTGTTATGACGATTTTATGCAATGAATGAAAGAAGTGATGCCCGGTGATGATTCCATGGTTGATAACTTTTACTAAATGAAGAAACTGGTTTAGGGCTTAGGCTTGCCGGTTGAGAAGATATATTGTTGCCATAATAACTGTATGATATTTTAGGGTAATGACAGTGAATCAAGGATGTGCACGTTTTGCAACCTTTTTAAATATAGAAGGCGATGTCAAGGAACTGGGAGACAACAGAAAGAGAAAGCATTCAAGAAAATATATTACTTTCCGTTGACTCCACGATTTCAAAGGCTATATATATCTCATACTACAACTGAACAGATGCGATGGCATGCTGAATATGAACGTGAAGTTGATGTTATGCATCATCCGTCAGATTCGGAAGCGTGGAAACACTACGATTAGCATCCATCATTTGCTTCTGAGATTAAGAATGGCAGACTAAGACTATGCACGGATGGTTTTCAACCATTTGGACAGTCAAGCCAATCATATTCTTCATGGCCTGTAATTGTGACACCATATAATTGGCCCCCATCCATGTGTATGAAAGAAGAGTATATGTTCTTTTGTATTATTGTGTCAGGACCAACGAACCCGATTTATAAGATCGATGTTTTCTTACAGCCTTTAATTGCGGAATTGAATCAATTATGGGAATTAGGTGCTGAAATTTATGACATTTCAAATTCTCAAAATTTTATGCTCTAATTTGTTTTGCTATGAACGATTAATGACTTTCCCGCACTTTCAATGTTATCTGGGTGGAGCACTACAGTTTGAATTGCTTGTCCATATTGCATGGAAAATACAGATGCTTTTACTTTGAAAAATGGTGGAAGCAATGTTGGTTTGATAATCACTGAAAATTTCTCTCAATTTGACCATGCATGGAGACGAAATCGACAGTATTTTCGAAAGAATAAGGTTGTTTACGACCCCCTCCACCTATAAAGTTAGGCACAATGTTAGAAATTGAAGAGTTGGGGCTTATGAAAGTGACTGATTTGAGACATAAAGAGATAAACAATAGAATTGGTCGCAGGAATGGATGGAAAAAATGAAGTATATTTTGGAATTTACCGTACTAGAGTACATTACTTATCCAACGTAACCTTGATGTCATACACATAGAAAATAATGTATTTGAAATATCTTTAACACTTGAAAGAGTTGGGGGGCTTATATAGACGAGGGTGGACTTGAATTGTGAGAACAATCCAGAGAGAGAATAAACAAATAGAATGAATGGTCTGCGCAGGAATTGATGGTAATATCAATATCGAAAGTAATAGTTTAGAATATACCAACTGGATACTAAGAGTACATTACTTATCACAACGTGAGAACCTGTGATGTCATACACATAGAAGAAAATAATAGGGTATTTGAATTAACCTCTTTAACACCGCCTCGTGCATGATATTGATTGGGAAAAAACCATGTTACAGGTGATTATATTTTTGCAAAAGAACGCTAGAGAAGCGAGGATATAAAAGAAAATTTAGGTGAGTCATCCCACTGCAGAACTGAACTGATAGGCAGAAAATGACGGATGAACGCGTATTGTATAAATATCAGCTTAATTTCACGTCAATAGGATCATATAAGCAAACCGACACAAATATTAGTGGTGAATGGAGGTCCGTGGTTGTCGGTTTTCAGATATATGGAGATATGCAGGGTCAAGATGGGTGCGGATGTGTTTGACATGGACAGTAAGAATATAGAGGATTTATTTGGGGAAGCATACTTTGTCAAATGTTTTTATGGCAAACTGCTTAAATACCGTTAAGCTTTCAACCGAGAGAGGAATACAAGCAGAGGGGTCAAGGACTCACTAACACATATTATACCTCATAGAATGTTGGTCAACTAGGGGGATGGAGGCTCGAGGTATTACGAGGCGAGGTGGGTCGTCCCGCTAGAGCATTCGTGACAAGTCACATACCGTCATGTTTTTATGCAAATGCTAATACCAAGCTTTCAGATGGATACAAGCAGGGGGGTCAAGGACTCTACACAAGGGGGATGAGGTCGAGGTATTCGAGGACGAGGTGGTCGTGCTAGAGCACGTGACACTCATTCCGTCACACAACCCCCCTTGTCTCCACTACCTCTTACCTTTCCTTTTACTCAGGCACATACTTCTGATGTTGCAGCACCATTTGCACTAGCCACTGCAACGCCATCATCATCAGCAACCCCTCCACCCGATAATATACAATTCACGATTATTGTTATTTTGTATTTTTATATATTAGTATATTAACATTGATATTTTCTATTAATGCTCATTTTCTGTAGTTGAGGGAGATGCTAGATCGAAGTTGAAGATTGTGAAAAGACGGTAATTGACAAACAAAATTTTCGTTACTTTTTTGCTTTTCTATCTAAATTTGAATATTTTTGTATTGTTCTTATCCTATTGTATTCTATATTTGTACGAATAATTATACTACTGGGAAGGAGTGAGCCACTACATCTCAAGCTCAGATTGGTGAGCAGCTTACGATCAATGAGTTGCAGCTTTATCTCGAGGATGTAGGAGGCAAGAAAAAGAGAAAAGTGTACGATATTTGTTCGTATTCTGATATTTTTTATTGTCTCACGCATGGGGCTTCAGCGAGTAGAGCCACACCAGCTGAGCCGGAGGCATGTAGCAAGGAGATTCAGGATTTATGGGCTCAGATTTGGGCGCAGCAAAAAAAACCTAGCTAATATTGCAGCAGCAAAAGCTGATGGATATGTATGTCCGGGACCGACCTACTGCATTGCCAGCTCCCTCTGCACCGATAGGTCACTCTGATCCCCTCGCTTCTTCCATTCTGCCTGCTTCTTAGAGTCTCATTAGAGATCTTGCAGATCTGACCACTTAGGCTTCCTTTTCATTATCATAATTATTTTGTATATATTACAGTACAATTTGTATGGTTTTCTTCGTATATTAATAATAATTTATTTTTCATAATTTAGTATTTCTTTCATTGCTGCCTTTGTTTGTGTCAAATGGTATATATTGCCCTTTTTTATAGGAGAAAAATTTTTGGTGTACAAAATTTAAATTTTATTTTTTTATTTCCAAAAATAAATAACGATCGATTAGTGACAGAATAGCAACAGATCACAACCATTTGCAATGTGATTGGAGACAAAATAGCGACCGATTTGCGACAGCCTAAGCGATTGCTTAGTGACTGATTAGTGATGGAAAGTAGGACATTATAAATGAAATACAGCAACAGATGAACGATAGCTTAGCAACACGATTTAGCAACGGGATGGCGACGCCGAGATTTAGTGACAGAATAGTGATGATCATTTCTTTGATGGCAGAAAGTGATTCAGCGACCGAGTTGACATGACTCGGTCGCTAATTAGCAATAGACGTCACAGTTGGTCGTTATTGTGTTAGCAATAAGAATTTTTATTACTGATTTGGTTGGTTGCTGTTCAGTCGTTGTATCCGTTTTAGTGATAGAAAAAAAAAGAATCAAGAACCGAGTCATCAGTCGCTAAAACGCTTTTTTTTTTTTTTTTTTTTTTAGAAACCGAGTCATCATCGCTCAAAACGCTTTTTTTTTTTTTTTTTTTTTTTGGTGTTTGCTGCAAGGAGAAGCCTCGTAAAAGTAAGCAATCCTTCATTGCAATTAGCAAAAACATAAAGGCCAATCCCTTCGACAAAACAAAGCATTACACTTCACAATACAAAATACAAAACAGAAAAGGAACACTGGAAAATAAATAAACAACACCATAATAGTGTACAAAACAGTGTTTATATAAGAAAACTCTAAAGTAAATCACAAATGTTAACTTACACTCGGGAGGGATCCATCTCTGTTTTAACTGACTTGGTAAGCCTTAGTTTCAAGTAATGTCCTAATATCCTCAACGGTTTTTTTACCCTGAAGAACACTTACCACATCTGATATTTGAGGCCTATTAGAAGGCCAATGCTCTGTACATAATATTGCCAAGTCAATGATGGTGATGGCTTGGTTGCCAACGTCAATGATGGTTGGATGGGACTTGGGTGAAGGTGTTTCTGGACGATAACTTTGGCCCTGATGGAACTGTTCCTTTCAGGTGTTTTATCGGATTAGTTCTTCATTAATTGTATTTGAAGTGCCTTCCGCGACATTTCTCACCTGCAGCATGCGTTATCGGTTATTTTAGGGATTCAACATAAATTTAAGTGTAAAAGTGGTTAGTCTTTAACTGTTGTTTTTCCAGTTTATACTGCACAATTTAGAGGTATAAAAAGACTTGATGTTTTGGGAGCGATAAAAACAAAAGCAATTACCCAAAAAAATTAGAAAAAAAGATGTGATGATTAATAAACAAGAAAAGCATGCAATGGCATTAACCCTTTTCTAAGAGATAAATAGGTGAATCCCTCATCGTTTCCGAGATTTTTTATCACAATCCTTGTCCACTGTTGAACGGGATTTGCAAGAAGCGAAATACCAATTAAAACTATACAACATGTCAGTCTCTTCACTGTTATATTTTCTGAGACTACAGACTACAGGTGCCATGTATTCCAAACAATCTAATGCCAATTTATGAAAAGAAATTTTTGCATGGCTCACGTACTTTACCGTGTGAAATGCCTGCCTTTGGGCTAATATTAGAATGGATCATCATCCTCATAAAGCTTTGCTTATGCCAATAGCAGAATATCTGAGATTTTAGTACTTACCGTGTGATGCCTGCTTTGGCTAATATAAATGGATCATCATCCTCATAAAGCTTTGCCAATCCAAAATCTGAGATTTTAGCCTCACAATTTTCATTAAGCAGAATATTACTAGCCTTGATATTTCTGTGGATTATAGGTGGCTCTTTTTTATGTAGAAACTCCAAACCCAGGGCTACTCGTTCACAAATACTGTATCTAGTTTCCCAACTAAGTTGCAGTGGACGATCAGGATCTACATGCAAATCTAATTAAACTTTCGAACAATAAAATTGAATTTGTGAAAGTATTGAGCTCCTGGAATAAAAGAAAATTACCAAATAAGACTTTCTCAAGGGAACCATTATCCATGTACTCATATATTAGCAACTGAAGGCCTCTATTTGAATAACAACCCAGCAGTTTAACAAGATTCTGATTTTCCAACTCAGACAATGCAAAGATCTCTGCTCTTGTTTCTGAAGCTGTCTTTGATTGAGGAAAAAGCTTCTTCACTGCTACAGTCAAATCTGGCTGCAATTGAGCCTATAATGGAGGGAATAAAATATTAAAAGAAAATGATCAGCAACTCCTTAATGCCAATATATATATATATATATATATAGTATTAATAGTAATATATAATAGGCTTCACACATGTGCTGTTGGTGTAGTGTTGTGTGAAACAGGAGCGAGTAGCCTAGATCCGTTGTAGAGCACGATCCGCGGAAGACGGGCCATCTCGCAGTTCCATTTGAGGGCTGGAACGCTTTTGAGTGAGAAGGGAGAGGTGTGAACGACTAGAGGGGGAGTGGAGCCTTCCAATCTTTATGTCCTGTGTTCCTATTTTTTGCAATATTCGCAAAGACATCGAGATCAAAACAAGTTATAGTATAATATATATAATGAGAGACATTCGTTAGAAGCAAGCATTAATATAGACAGTGGGACCACGGGAACGAATGAATCTTAGTGAGTGATATATTTGGGTTCTGTACGCTATTGCAACTCTGCTGTCTCCTAATCCAATTCCCATTTCATCCACAAGAAAGCTAATAAAATGAAGAAGAGCAAGAACACAAGCTACTGTGATATGGCTGACTATTATTCCCAGGGACCTGATAATGTTTCTTGGAGCTGCTTTCAGTAGAACCCAAAATGCTTTTAGAAGTTAGTGAAAGGTGGAAAAAAAATAGTATGTGAGGGTCGAAACATAAACAGGAAAAAGGAGTTTCAACACCCTAATACAAGTTTATTGGAAAATGAAGCTGAAATGCCAGAAGGTCCATAATGTTGACCAGCGGGTCTACGTTATTTAGGAGATCTTAACCCAGCCCAAAAGGAAGCTATTCGCAACGGTTTTAGTGGGTCCAAGTACATCTGACCAGAAAGTAGCTATGTAAACTGTTTCACAAGTCTGTTATGGCCAGCTTTCTGGCGGGCTTTTATTGTTGAAATCCTGTAAATACAGGGCTTTTCCACCTGTAGAATAAAGATCATACATTCTTAATGTCCATCTTTGGCATGATATAGGTTCATTTAAGGAAAATGAAATAATCTTAATCTTTTTGCTAATAGAAACTAACCCTGAATATGTAACATCAAAAAGGAGCGGTTTCCGCCACAATACATCGTGAATAGCGATTCCCGTTTCTGATAAGCAAAAAATAAAGTTTTCGCAGCAAATAAAGGGTTTGTACCACGCTCGAAATGGGTTAGTTTATTCGCTTAGTGCGCCAAGGCTCAAGAAGCAATAATATTATAAAACTACCTGAATATGTACATCAAAAAGACGTTTCCCCACAATACTGTGATCTTCCTTTTTAGAAAATAAAGTTTCAGCAAAATAAAGTTTGACCTCGTATTTTCCTTTGCGCAAGCAGAAGGCAAAATAGGTGAGAGAGACAGGAGCAACTCGGGCATTGACATATAACTGTGCCTCAGGAACAGAAACTCCACACGTTAAGTTCTTTATGTAACCACTTGCATTGATGGTTGGTGAGATATAGTCTCCAGAAAAGCTATAAGCCCAATTTGCTTGCGGACTTTCGTAAAAATATGATAATGCAGTATCATTTTCATATTTTTGCTTGTCAAACTTCACCTCCTCGCCACCACAGTTTATTGACAAGGAGTGATCTGCAATAACATTATTAATTAGTGAGTCTTTCTAAGTCCAAAACACGGAAAAAAAAAAAATTATAGTACTTTCAACCTCAAAACTTTATTTTTTATAGTAATCTCACATTTTGTCACGCTAGCAACAACAAATTTTAAGATATTTAATTTTTATATATAAAATATTAATTTGATATAAAGTTAGTTCAACTTTTAAAATAATAATTTTCATATTTTTCAACTATCAAATTAATATTTAATTGATATAATTTTATAAATTGAAATATTCAATAGTCAATTATAGTGTTCAATAGATGTAATTTTATATATTGAATCAAAAATAACCACAAGGTTTTTTTTTTTTTGTGAGACGTGAATTTTTGTATTGAGCTTTTTTTTTTTTTATTTGGGTCACAGAATTTATTTTTATTATTATTATTATTATTATTATTATAAACATATGCGTATGTGAGTGCTAATTCTAAGAAAAAGGGGATTGAGTTGCCAAAACCTTATGGATCTGCTCATGTATCAAACCAATGAAAAATAATTTTTTGTTTAAATGATCGTATTCTTCTTAACCAATCGACTTGGGAAAAAAGAAAGAAAAAATAATTTAAAAAAAAAATCCTTATTTTCATTGATTTGATACTAATAAAAAATGTTATAGATAATGTCATAGATCCGGTTTAGACAAATCTAACTTAATAAAAAAAAACTAAACTTCATAGCTTATGGAAAGTAAACATACACTTTGCGGGACATTCTCTTCCTTTTCGAGATATGTAGTCACTGCAAGTCAGATAAATTTGTAATTAGTAATATATATAATTGAAGATACTTGTGTGTATGTGTGTGTGTATGTGTGTGAGATTAAAGATGTAAAATATACCTGCTCGGCTCACTGAATGTCCACCAACAATATGCGATCAGCAAGCAAAAAAAGAGCAAGGTGAGAATTGGAACAATTTATAGTGTTCAAAACAACAAATAGTGATAAAAATATGTTTTAAATAAAACCACTTACAAATTGCGGCTCACTGAATGTCCACCAACAATATGCGATCAGCAAGCAAAAAAAGAGCAAGGTGAGAATTGGAACAATTTATAGTGTTCAAAACAACAAATAGTGATAAAAATATGTTTTAAATAAAACCACTTACATAATAATTGTATTCGGCAAATGTGAAAGTGTTCCGTTTTCCCGGTTCACATCCGGCACATTTGTGAAATTGTTGAGTGAAAGATCGCTGTAAGGCAACAACGTGGAGATATTAGTACGTATATGAATTCTGAGGTTTAAAACAACTAACAATTAACGACTACTAGAACAGTAAGTATTGCTCAATAGGACTTAAAACAAACAATCAATAACTATCAAAATAACTAAATACTACTAAAACAACTAATTTTATCAAATATAACTAAATAGTAATTAATAATAAATATGAGAATTGAAGTAATAAGAAATGTAAAACATGCGGTCGATGATTAGGCCAAATTTAATAAAAATTCAAAATTTTTGTTTTATTTATATACTTACACTTTTAGTGAGTCATAAAGCTGTGAGGGTTCCGATTTCGCATGAGTGATCCATGAAGGAAACGTCCCATTAAGCTTATTGCTTGCTAAAAATCTTCAAAAAAAAAAAAAAAGAAAAAAACCGTTGAATCCGTCAAACACATTTTAACTTTGAGATATGGTCCAGAGAAAGGCCGTCACATACATCTTTTTTAAATTTGGACCAAAGCGAGGAATTTCACCAATCAAGTTGTTGAAGCTCAAATCGCTGCAGGAAGGAAATATAAAACGTTAAATAACATTAGCGTCGGTCATCTAAGTTTTTAAAATGGTATAGACTCTTTTCTTTTGAATATAAGAGATAGAAATCAAGTTTTTCAAAAATTATTTACTTGCGTGTAAACTAAGATCGTGTTTAATAATAACTTTTTAAATAGTAAATGTTATTTTTTTATAGTATTGGGTAACATAGCGTTTAAACTAATTTTTAGAATTTAAGATAATATATTTAATTTTTAGTGTTTTAAGATAAGTTACTCAAACAACTAACACATACTAAAACAGTTAATTTTGCCAAACAATTTCTAAATGTGATTTTTGTAATTTGAATTGTTACAATTCAACTCACAAAGATTTTTAAAATATTTTTCTTTAATTCTCTTATAATTAGAATCTTCTTCATAAACTTTTAATTGTAAACTTTAAACTTATTTTATTTCTAAAAACCACATTAAGAAATGTTTATTATGGGTTCAAAATGAGCTTTCATTCATTGCAATAATACTCACAGAGACGTCAATTCAGGCCATTTAGCAATATATGGAGGTATTGATCCATTGATTGAGCAATTCCTCAGTATCCTGCATACATGGTAGAAGAAATAGAGGAACTTGTATAGATAATTTTTGAAAAATTTTAAAATTAGGGAGCGTGCCATCCCTAATTTTGCCGTGGAGCTAAAATTGAATCGCATTAAATACTTACAAAGAATATATATTCACCAAGTTTGCTTTCTTAGGGAAAGTAAAACCAGGATTCCTTAGCCCACTAACCCACCTGAAACAAGAGAAGCACATGTTAAAAAGCTTTTATAGCTTAAAATGAAGTTAGTAGGTATTGTCTGACTGCACATACAATGTCTGAAGACTCGGAAGGTTAAAAATCTCCTCTGGTATGTTTCCTTCAAAATTATTTCCCAGAAGAATCCTGATAAATTAATAATATGGTTCAAATGATTATATCTCCAGATTTTAAATTCAATTATAAAGTCAGTAAAAAATCCATATATTTAAACAGATCCTAATAAAAATATATAGCCTTGAATATACTTACAGATAAGTAAGGTTCTTCCAGCCTGCAATGTATTTGTGTACAGAACCAGACAAATCGTTTCCAGCTACTGCACTGCATTGCATTCAACCACGGTTTTGGAACTCAAAATATGGTTGAGTTCGGCAATAGCTTTTTAAGTAGCTATTTTTATAGTGTTCGGTAATATAAAATTTGAAGTAGCATTCAGAGATTAAAATAGCGTTTTATACAAAATTAACCTACGTGATGTTTAACTTTTAATATTTTATAAAAAAAACTATTCAAACAGTTAACAACTATTAAAATAGTTAATTTTGGTTGAGTAGAATCTACGTTTACAATTGACACCGAGAAATACTTTAAGAATAAGAGATTTAATTAGTGGCAGAATGTCTTTTTCTTTTTGAACTTTGGCTTTAAAATTAAATGATTGATATTTATTTTTAAATAAATAATAAATAAAATAATCAAATACAAACAAACTATTTACGTGAGTCTTTCTGTAAAAAATAAATAAAATAAAGAAAAACTTACAAGATTTCAAGTGCAGTAAGTTGAGAATAACTTTCCGGAATGCCCCCAGTAAGATGGTTGGACGTCAACCAGCTGTAACCATAAAAGTTTCAGAGTAGTTACCAGTAATACAAATAATTTATAAATTATATATTTGGGTAATTTTACATGGTGGAATTACTTTGACTATTTTGAATTGTGTTTGTTTTTTTGAAAAATAATTTATCTTTTGAATAATAAATATTCTTTAAGTAAATTATTATGTGTAAAAATATTTTAAGGATGCAATTCTGTTCTTTCATGTGAGTGGAGCACAATATATGGTATCATTTTATAATCGCAGAAGATAATATTTGAATGATATATCCAAAAATTGTCTCAATAAAATTTAAAAAATAAATACACTTAAATAAAACTTACAGTCTTCTAAGATTTTTCAATTTTCCGATTCCTTGAGGAAGTGAACCATTGAGTTCATTGTCATCCAAGGCCCTGATATTTTTAGGATAGAGTCAAGATAACATATGCATGATGATGATGATAATAAATAACTAAATAAATGGCCTCATACAAAAAGGAAAGTTGAGAGAGGTTCCCAAGATCAGGAATTGAGCCTGATAACATGTTACTGTAAAGATTCCTGCAAAGCCACAATGTGTATAAAATTCAAAATTATATTGCAAAAACAGGTAATAAATCAATTAGTGAGTCGTTTTGAAGGGCCTTACAACGTAGTTAGCGATGAGAGGTTACCAAATGAAGGAGGTATTTGCCCATTCAGAAAGTTGTAGCGCAAATTGCTGTTGCAGAGAGATTTTCAGCACTTACAAGGTAATAAATTAGATATCCCAAGCCAAAATCACTCCAAACTTTAAAAGGTCATTTAATAGAAAAATTCTTGTTTTTGATTGACCCAGACACAGGGTATAGGTAAGTGTTTCTCTTCCCTTCGGTTTTTTGCTTTTTTTTTTTTTTTTTTTTTTTTTTTTTTTTTTTAGGTTAACATATATTGAAAAACCGCTTGTAGCGAAATTGCTGTTGCCAGCGACGAGATTTTCAGCGACTTACAAGGTAATAAATTAGAATATCGTGCCAAGGCCAAAATCACTCCCATTCACCACACGCACCACCACCCCACGCGTTTTGATTGAACCCAAAGAAACACAGGAGGTAATAAGGTTAAGGTGTTTTTCTCTTCTTCGGTTTTTTGCTTTTTTTTTTTTTTTTTTTTTTTTTTTTTTTTTTTTTTTTTTTTTTCAGAGCTCAATGGCAAAATTGAAAATATAGTGAAAAGTTGAGAGCTAAGTGTTAAATGTTGAAAAAAAACAATAAGAATACTAATTTGTCTAGAAAGTAAGATGAGATGACAATCGATTAAACTTAAAAAATGAATATTTTAGTTTTGCCTTCCATAATTAGTAAAATTTTTTTTTTTTTGTTCCTAATTATTCAAATTTTGCACTTCGGAGAGTACTTACAGCAAAACCAAATTTTGCAGATTGCCCAAGCTAGTCATTGGACCATTCAAGTAATTGTTTGAAAGATCCCTAATTTTGCACAAAACAAAACAAAACAAAACTCAATTCAATATATATATATATATATATAATCACACAGTCAAATAAAATTAGAGATCTTAAGATAGAGAAACTTACAAGTACTTGAGCGACTTTAAATATTGGAAACTGCTAGGAATAGTACCATCAAGTTGGTTGTCGTTTAGATAACTGTAATTTAGATAAAATCAGAAAAACGTATTTAGTTTAATAAATTATTTTAATAGTCATGAATACTTTGATTATCAGTTTTTCGATAAATATTACTAAGCTTATTTTATATAGTATAAATCTATCCTTGTTAAACTTAAGAATACATATACACACACGAAACTGATGGTTCATGTGAATATTAAAATTTGAATCTGAACCGGTGGTTAATTGATGGTTCCGGTCTGGTTCGAACTGAAAATTTTCTATTTTTATTTTTAAAATAATAATAATCACTTAGCCTAATTTATATATCTCTAAAAGTCTCAATAATATTTTACTACATGATATACTTTATTTAAGATTTTGTCTTTTAAAAATACACTTTATTTTAAAAGTTAAAAATCTAAAACTAAAATGGTAAAAAAAGAGATAAAAATTTAGTCTAAACTTATATTATTTTTATTTTTATTTTTTTACCTTTTAGATTGTTTACTAAGTTTAAAATTACATTCTTTTGAAGCATTTTTCAAAATTTTCTTATAATTTATTTAATTAATAACATTTAAACATTTGAAGCAATTTTTTTTTTTCAAAATTTTTCGCCTATAATTATTTAATTAATAACATTTAAACATATATATGTATAATTTTATTTGATTAAATTTGTAGTAGAAATTTATTAATTTTATTCTTGGATATGGAGTCTATGGAAGCATTCTAAAATTTAATATATAACACCAAATTTACCAAGTATTAGTTTTAAAGTTCATATTAATATTTTCAAAAGAAAGAGTGTCAATATTTTTTAAATTCATATTAATATTTTCAAAAGAAAGATGTAGCGTTAAAACCGATTTAAAAAAAAAAAAAAACATATATCGTCAAAAACCGTAATCGAAACCGTCGGTTCATTGGAACTGCACCGGAACCAGACCAACGGTTCAATGAACCGGGTTACCTCTGTGTTTCCCATAAAAAATTGTCCCAGTGCCACCAAACTCAAAGACTAAATAATAATAATTTAGCTTGTTGCTGTGGCTAACAATTTCCCAATTTGTTTTTTGTACACCTTCCATTAGCCAGAGCAAGAAAATCACTTAAAACTGCATTTTTATTTTAGTGATTTATACTTACAGCGTCTCAAGATTGGTTAAATTTCCCAGGCTTTCAGGTATTGATCCAATCAATTGATTGCTGGAAACACGCCTAAATTTTAAACAAACACAATACATATATATATATATAAGAGAATCAGTGTCATATTTTTTAGCTATGCATATCAATCGGATATAGAATCAGATGGGAGTTTACAGCATTTGAAGGTATTGAAGCCCACTTATTGCGTTATCGACAGAACCACTTAGTGTTTTGCCCATCATATTTCTGCCAATGGATGAATTTAATATCAATAAGAAACATATATAACATAGTATATATATATATATATATATATATATAGTATATATATATATAATATATATATATATATATATTATATATAGTTGACAATATATATCAGAATATGGACATACATACATTGCAATTATGTGGCAAATGAGGCTGCCTTTGTCGTCCTTGAAACTACAATTACACCTTATTGCAGCATCAGATTCCAGGTTGCTGCTGATTTGACAGTATGAAGCAGAGATGGACATTGTTGGAATCAACCTAAAACTGGTTATTACAGTTCTAAGAGCAGCCACTGTCAAATCAAACGTTTTTCAAAAAAAAAAAGAAAAATCATGCATTTCATCAAACCAAACAAAACTCTTAAATATGTAAGGATATATATGGGTATTGATTCTTGATCATGCATTTCATCAAACCAAACAAAACTCTTAAATATGTAAGGATATATATGGGTATTGATTCTTGAAAGAAAAGAAAAGAAAAAAGCTGAATGGGATTGAAAACGGCGCTTATAGAAGTTTACATTCGTCACAGGGCAGAGTTTGATTTGCGCCGCAGTAGGAATTTCCAGATCTTCCATAAATGTAATCTGTAGATTGCACATCGTAGAGTACTAATTAATTCTAATAGAAATTCAAACCTTTTAATGGGAACATAGTTAATCCAAACTAAAAAACTGAAATGGTTATTGAGTATGTACAGAATGGAAGCTGGGTTTGATTCTTGAAAGAAAAGAAAAAGAGTTAAATGAAATTGAAAAATTTTGCTTATAGAAGTTTACACTCGTCACAACCACAGTTTGCACTTGGAGAGCTGCCGTTTGTGTTTCCAGTATAAGGATTAACGGCCCCATAAACACGTTGCCAGTGGAGAAAGAAAACAAGGATAAGAATAAATTTAGCCATAATTGAACTTTTGCTGCTTATTAGTTCTGTTCAAAAAAGCTGAATGCACAATTTCTTTGGTCGGCTCTTTATATAACTTCTAAATAGTTGATACAGCGTTGCTTGCAATGTCAATGGCAAGTCTACTCTTAGAGATTAGATTAAGGAAATTACTAAAAACCCTTTAGATTTTGCATTATCAATACTCAATCCCTCCTTTGTCAAATAGAAATCGAATGGTCTCTCTCTTTTTTACCAGTATTCTATTCTCTTATGAGCGTCTTTTAAGGGTTTTTTTTTCCCCACTTAATTGTCACTTTAGAATATAAAACCAAGCATTTTTTTTTTCTTTTTTCAATTTTACCATCTTGTGGTATCTCTATTGAGTAATAATTATTTAAAGAATTGATAAAAAATTAATTTAGTCAATTAAAATCATTTCTTATTACTATCTCTTCGTTAATTTTGACACTTTTAACTTTTTTATAAAAATTTAAAAATTTATTAAACCAGCTCGATTTTATAATACTATATCCATCTATAAATATAAGTTCTTGCACAGTGATTAAAAAATAATTAATTTTTCTAAATTATAATAAAAAATTCATTAAGTTGACTAAATTTCGTATTATCTCACATCATTAATAATTAATGTGTTTAATATTTTCTACTTGCCAAAATATAAGTGGTTTAATGTTTTTATATAGAGATCAAGGAAATAATTAATGATAATTTAACTAAACTATCTTGTATTTGAAAAACAAGAATAACTCGTTATTATATCTAATATAAATAAAGGTAAAATAAAAAAAAAGTTCATTAATTATTTTTTAATATTCTTGAAATGATTTATATTTGTGAACAAAAGACTACCCTAAAACGAATTATATTTATAGATAAAGAGAGTAATAGAAACTGATTAAATTAATCTTTAATTAGCTTTTTGTAATAAAGAGAAGCAAAATTTGGTGGAGATATTTAGACAAAAATAAAATTGAAATAATTAATACTATACAAATTTTCTGAAAATGTCATCTAAGAATTTCACTACAAGAAAAATGAAAAGTAGGAACAATTTATTTAGCTCTGAAAAAAAAAAAAATTGTGCTGTAACATTTTATTAGAAAACATCCCGAAAAGATGTCATGGACTTCTAACACTAATCCCACCTTCCGAAAAAAGATGTCATGGACTCTTAACGTTTTAGTAACATTTAGCTGTTTAAGTAGTAGTTAACTATTTGAGTAATTTTTGATAAATTTTTAAAAACTAAAAATATTATATGGATTAATTTTTTATAAAACCTTATTTTAACTCTCTAAAAGTTAATTTAAAATTATATTATTGAACACTATCAATAATAGTATTTAATTAAAGGCTAAAACTTATTTAAATCGTTATTTCCAAACACGACCGGAATTTCCTCCCTTATCCAACAAACACAGTAAAAAACAAACCCATTACAGTACAAAGCCCCCACCATGGAAAATGCACAGATCATCGGTAAGACAAGTTGCTCTCAGTTAGCTTTTCTTTTCTCTGCCTCTATGACTTTAATCAATGAGTTATTCTGTTATGTATGAGTTATTCTATGGCTTTAATAAAGTTGATTCCTTCACTATTAAAAAAAGAAAAACAAGATAAGCCGAACTAATTATGAACCTACGTACAATTACAATAAAGATTCATTCTTTTATTTTAATAACTCTTATTAAACTCATTTCATAAGCTAAAAACCATCTTAATCAAATCAAATAAAAAATAAAAGAGAAAAAATTTAGTTCTCTCTAGCTCTCTTGTTTCTCTAGTTTTCTAACACTAGTTTTAATTTCCTACCTTCTACTTTCTATTATCTCTTTCGCTTCATCTTCTTTGAATTTAATTTTCTCTGCTTTAATAAAATCATATATGTTTTCTCTGTAACATATCTGTTTTTTTTTTTATTATTATTGTTAGTTGTCTCCATATTTAGATTTTTTTTTATCTCTTCTTTGTGAGGTTTATTACTAAATAACTATGATATTTGAATTTATTTGATTGGAGACTTTAGATTTTGATTTACAGGTGTGGATCTTTAATCAATAGAGCCTGGTAATGCGGCATGTTCCTCAATTGATGCTATTGATGTATAGCAACAGAAACTCATATGTATTCGTCATATGTTGCAAATTATTGAAAAAGAAAAAAAAATGATTCGTAGAATTAGGATGATTAATTATATTTAATTAATATTGAAAATAGGTATAATATATTTCTTTTGACATTTTTTCACTTTTCACAAAAAATTAAAAAAAAATAATTGAACCACCTCAATTCTATAAAAATAAAAATAATTGACTAAATTACTCTTTTATTAGTTCTTTGTAATTAAGAGACAAAATTTGATAGAGATATCTAGATAAGAGCAAATTGAAATAAAATAATTAATACTACATTAATTTCTAAAGTGTCATCTAAGTGGAATATAAAAAAAAGTGAAATGTTAAAATTAACCTAACAGAGTAGTTATTGAAATTTGTTGATTGAGATAATAATTTCAATTGTTAGATCTAATAATAATAATAATAATAATGACAGACTTTTTCGCAAGTGCAAGAAATCGCAAACAAGTAATAAAGAGTGAGTAAAGTATCGTTCCCACGAGTATTGTATACCAAGTATCAAAATTGTGTTAATCTACTATTATTTAAATGACAATAAGGAAAATAATTCTACAAATAAAAGAAATAAATAAAGTGATGAAAAATAACTCAAGCAAGAAATTGTTGAGAAGAAATCAAAGATTAAAAACTACTAGGGATTATGACTTCACTTATTATTCGCATGTAATTTTATTACCTTTTTCATATCAAAAACCCTTCTCCTGATAGTGATTAATGAAATAAATCAATCTATGGGAGAAACCTCTGCCTGGAAACATTAAGTTCAATAATAAATATAACATCAACAAAGAAAAACAAATATAATATTATAAATTAGAATCGAAATTAAGCTACATCAAATCCCTAGTATATGAATTTAGTTCAACATAGTAATTAGCTAAAGTCAATTAAACTTGAAAATATTCTCATAATCAACATGAATAATGAAAAATAGAAACAAGAATAAAAGTTTAAAAATAAAAACTAGTCAACAATTGACTTGTACCACTTCTTTGAATCTTGATCTCCAATTTGATTGCTTGAAGTCTTAAAGTAAAAAAACTATGTAGCAAATAATAAAAACAAGAGATGGAATATATAATGAATGGATTCCTCCCTCGATCATGGCTAGTCTCTCTCTTTATATAGATTTTTTAGAATATTATCGTGTTCGTTTAGGTAAATGAACCTCTATTGAGTAAGAAATCTTTTAGAGATGAAAAATTATTTAGACTTTATATTTCTTCCCAATTAAGATTCTTCTAGCATGTAAATATGATTTAAACTTGATTGACATATTAGAAAAGCATCTCATGCGGGTTTATGCAAGCAGTATGGCTAGAACTGACGTTCTTAGCCTAATGCAAAATTTGGTCTTCAGCACGAGTGTGCTCTCTGGCACGGCTTGGATGTGCTAGGCTCTGAGTCCTCAAGGTGATTGCAGCATGAGTCGTGCTTGGATGAGCACTTTTAGAGATCGACAACTTTTTGTAGCACAGGCGTGCTCTCTGGCACGGCTCGGGGGTGCCAGATTCTGAACCTCTGTTGAATTTATCTTGAACACAGCATAGGGGTGCTGGATAATACGCCTAGGGCATGCCAGCCTTTTTGCATAGATACAGTATTTTCTGTATTTTTTGCTGATTTTCTATAAAAATGCTACAAAATTCTTTAAGATCAAGCGAAATATAATTTAATGAAGCTTTATTGAAAAACATAAATAAAACTAAATGAAAACTTATTAAAGTAATTAAAAATACTAAAAATCTTAACAAAAATTATATTAAAAATTAGATCAAGCGAAAATATAATTTTACATTGAAGCTTTATTGAAAAACATAAAATAAAAAACTAAATGAACACTAAAACATAAATAAAACTAAATGAAAACTTATTAAAGTAATTAAAAATACTAAAAATCTTAACAAAAATTATATTAAAAATAACATTATCAATAAACAATATAAAAATTCACTCATAAACTTTATTACTTTAAAATTCAGACACCCTCAACTATTATTTTGACTTATTAATCAATTTAATTTATAAAATTATGTATATTAAACATTTCAACTTTACAAAATTAGTTTATTGAATACTTTAATTTGCAAATTTATCAATTAAATATTTATTATATAATTTAAACATGTAAAAATTATTGTTCCAAAAGTTATATCAACTACACATCAAATCCATGTTTTGCATTTAAAAGCTAAAAATCCTAAAAAATATTGCTATTATGGAAAGGTGTGCAATCCGTTTGGAACAAATGAATTCCACAAAATTTTGTGAAATTGATTTTGGAAATCCAAAATATTATGTTTGGAATAAAAAAAAAAAAAGATTTGAATTCTATGGAACTGAGAATGCTTAAGTCAAATTCTACTAAAATTGATAAAATTTTTAAATAAATTCCACAAAGTTGACCATTAAAATATTTATTGACAAAATTACCCTCTACTATAAACTCAATTATTTTTTACTTTTTTTTTCCTTTTTATTTATTTTCTTTCTTTGGAAAATTCCAAACTATAACAACGTCTGTTTTTTAATCCAATAATAACTTTAATTTATATTTTTATATTTTTTTCCTTTTTATTTTTTTTTTTTTGAAAAATTCCTAATCAGTAATGACGTTTTTTTTTTGAAGTCTAGTAATAACATTAGTTATTATACTATGCAAATTATAAAAAACTGAGCATCGACAATTGTTTTCAATGCAATTAAAAACAATAGTAACATTCTTAATATTTTTTTTAATTTTCAAATTAATTACTTAAAATCAACAAAATTTTTTACATCAATTAAAAATATTTATGATGATAAATATTACTGCTTATATAATTAATCAATTAGTGTGGAATATTAGTGTACTTTTTTGTATGAAATTTATTACTTATATTTTAATAAAAATGACAAGTTATTGTATTGT